TGCACGTACGGCGACGACACCGTCGACGACCTGTACTGGTCCAGCTTCGGATTCTCCGCTATAGTAACGTAACCAGTGTTCTGTTTGCTGGCGATGATCGGCTTGTCGATGTCCAGCTTGCCGGTCGGCTTCGTTCCGCCGGTCTGCCAGCAGTGAGGATACGCGGTGTCCTCCTCGCCCCTGTCTTCTATCGTCTCCGTCGTTTCCGGCTTTCCCAGCTGTTGCTGTTGCAATATCTGGAAAACGGAGCTGGCAAGCACATAGGGTTTCGAGCCGTCGGCCGCAGAGGACTCGGGCGGGCTCGGTTTAGGCGACGACTCCGAGGCAGCCGGTTGGAAGCTCGGTTTCTTCAGCACCTCGGAAATCGAGGACACAGAAACGTACGGCTTCGACGTGGTGTCCAGCGTGGATGGCAAAGACGTTGGACTGGCGAACGAGGATACGAACGGTTTGTTGCACGCGTCGGTTAGAGACGTCGAAGCGAACGGAGTGGCCATTGTGGTACTCCTTGTGCCGTCCATACCACTCAGAGTGAACGGTTTCTTCAGCGAGTCGATTAGGCCTGTTTGCACGTAAGGCTTCGAAGTTTTGTCGCTGGTAGAGAATGGCGTTAACGTCTCCAGTTTCGCTTTGTTCGACTCCGTAAACGCCAGGTCGTCCAGATCGCGCAGGGTCTCGATGGTCTTCTTGTCTTTCTGCTTCTGCTCCAAGGAAGCCAGAGTTATGTACGCATTCGCAGCTTTCGTCTCTGCTTTGATCGGTATCAGCGTATTCGCGGTAGGTTCTGCTAGATCCGTGTTGTCTTCGGATTTTGATTTCACCGGCTTGGGGACTGCTCCTATGACACTGTAACCACCGGCTGTTGCCGTCTCTTTGGGGACAGGACTCGGGTTACTCGATAGCTCCTCTGAAGATGGCATACTCATGTAACCGGTCGACGACCAAGTGTGTTGAGATGTTGTGTAACCCGTGCTGTCGGTTAAGTTAGGCGTGGACCGTGCCAGAGACAATGAGTCCCCGATTATTGGCTCTCCGGACTTCGCAACTTTCACGTACGAATTCCAGCGTTCCGTGTCCGCTGTGAATCCGGGTCTGGTCACTCCGACGTTCCGTTGACGTAAACTCGACGATTCACAGGGCAGCAACGTTTCCATTAATTTGTTCGGCGACACTGGTATTGGGTCTATCTCTGTGCCACTGTCGCTTGAAACTTGAGAGTCGGATGTGAGAGAAGAGGTGACGGACTCCTGACCGCTCGAACAGCCGCTCGAATCCGCGGACGATTGCCTTATGTGTGGTTCACCCACTTTTTGAAGAAGCTTCTATAATAAACATTGACAAACCATAAATAATGAAAACTTTCGATGAAACGTACACTAGTTATTTCTCGAAGAATGATACGTTACCATATTAGGCGCTAATCCCGGTGGTAATTTGACTTCAACGTCCTGCATGGCTTTACACTTCAACCACATTCTATAATAAATAAATCGCAAGTAAGGTGACGTTTGTTTTACAGAATATTTTTTACCAGGGGGGTTCACATACCTCTTCGACACGTGTCCAAGACAGAAAAGTATCGCCACCATACTAATACCTCCTATCACCCATATCATGACCCAGACACCGAACGATGGTCCTATGACATAACCGATTTGTCAATTAGTATCTTCAATATAAAAGAAAATTGATAATGTCAGAATTAAGAATGCAGTAATTGTATTACCATCACTGTAACAGTTTCCTTCTCCAGGTTCAGACCACGGTCCCTTCAAGTGCATGTTGTCGGGCACAATATTGACAGCTCTCACGCGAAACTGGTATAACCGTTCCCTGCCCACTGTCTTGCAATCAGGGATAGGCAGTTGGGCCTCTGTAATGACGTATCGAAGACGTTAAACACAGGAATATTTTGCTAGCAAAGAAATTTCCTTTTTATTGATGTTACCTGTTTTAGTACTATTCTGTATATCACCATCACTGGAAGATATTTCATAGTAATTCAAATAGCCGCCCGCGTTTTGAGGCCTCTTCCACATAACGACCACTTGGCTGGAGTTCATGAATCGTACACTAGGCACCTCGATCCTTCCAGGTAGACCAATCTTTGTGACGTTGTAGATCGGCTGTGATTTCTTGCTGCAAGACACAGTACATGCTGCGACGCTGACACTGTAATTCGTGTGGACCATTAGATTCTTCAGTTCCACGTGATTAGCTTCCTCCACTTTCTGTGCATCCCTGTTGTAATACACTTCATAGTATCTCAGAACACCGTTCATAGCGTCCGGAGGTTTCCATGTAATGAACATGGTCGTGTTGGTCACGTTGATAACCTTGACATCTTGCGGAGGAGTTGTCGGTGCATCTTCCAGTGTCGTGTTGTATAAAGGATCGCTGTGCAATCCCTCTGTATTCTTCGTTAGTACAGCAACAGACAACATGTAAGTTGTATAAGGCTTCAAATTCGTGACTATTCCGTGAATGGTATGGGGATCCTTTATCGTTGTATTCAGCTTCGGTCCTTTACAGTTTAAGTTGTACGGTGATACGATAGGACAATAGTATATGTTGAATCCCTCCACGATTCCAATGCGATCGGAGCAATCCAGTTTCCAACCGACCTCGATGAAATTGGAGCCAATTCGGTTTATCCAAACTGACTTCATTTTTCCAACGATATTGTCGTGGATCACTGTACACGAGGCCCACACCATTCCACTGCTCGCCTTCTGAGTATTCGCTGAGATCGCGAATTGGTACACTTTCATAGGATCCGGTACAGTCATGTTGTATATCGTTGTATCCTTGGACACATGCACCCAATCCAGATAACCCTGAAAATATCAATTTCGACATGAATAGATTTCAATTATCGAATATCTGGCTGTTGTTGATGATTACATACAGTGCACTGATAAGGACGATCGCGGTCGTTATCGCACCAAAAAATTGTGTAATTCATGATTTCTGTGCTCATAATAGGCGGCTTCCAAGACAGCTCGTACAAGCCCCCGTGAAATGCGATTTTTGTAAACGCTATTGGCCCATCAGGTACTGTAAGATTTACATATATACGTTAAATCTTCTGTCGTGTAACAAATACCTAAACGAATGTGCAGGGATTAAGAAACTACTAATTTCGTTAGTCCTTTATGATCTTACTTTCGTATTGACTAGGAACAAAAATTTTAGCACGCTCCTTGTTTATTCCAACAACGTTCTTTGTAACGATTTCAAATCTGTAACTGTTAAAGCTAATTCCTTTGAACTTAGCATACGTATTTGTCGTCTCATTGGGAACAAGCGACACTTTTCGGCCGCTCTCCTCAACGTGATCAATCTTATACGTGAAATTGTCACCATTCTGCAAGTAGTCCGGTATAGTTTGCCAATACAGATACACATCTCTGCTAGCACTGTTCTCCGCTACTTCAAAGCTTCCGATATCGGTTTTTGGAGGACCGCCAGGTACTAAAATATATCAAGTACATGGAAATTAAGAGGAAAAAAAGAACGTCCCGAGGTATACTTACTAGCAAATGACCCTTACCTTTTGGTGGTGTTCTGAACGCAACAACGCTAAACTCGCTCCATTTATCATCCCCTATCGCAACAGCACTTTTCGTGGAAACACGTACATCGTAGCCGGTATTAGCGTACTCTAATCCAGTCAGATTATAGTATCTTTTGTGCATGTGGCTGTCATTTGTAATATTAATTACCTAATAGAAAATTGTGATCAATACAAAATTCATTAGAATAATTCTTTGACATTGAAAATATTCTATTATATATGTATATATATTCACCTGCCAGGTATCTTCAGAATGCCAGTGATTCTGATACATTATTTTATGGTATAAACCAGGTGGAAAGTTCTGCATAGGAAAAGGCACGCTCCAGTGCAATAACGCGCTGTCTGATGTTTTATTAATCACCGACAAATTCGCTGGTTTTGCGGGAATAACTAGAAACGGTTATATTGTAATTAGAATCAGAGTGATTTTAATCCACTTCCAAGCGTAAAAATAATGAATACCAACCGTGAGCGAAATGGTGAAATTTATATTGAAAACTGGCATTTCCTAGTACATTTTCCACATTTAATATGAACGTATAATATTCGTACGGCTGGCGGTAAATCGGGTTTGTAGTTGTATCCCACAGACACGTATTCGGTGGCAATGGTTTCGGGTTTTCTTTTGGGCACGGATATAACTTGCGTCCTCCCGCTCTTCCCGGCAATTTAAATACAAGCGTAAATCTCGTTGTAACATAATTCTGGACGGGAACCCATGAACAGTTCATATTCTCCCAATTGTGAGATACGCAAGAGAAGTTCAGTGGCTCTTTAGGCTTGTCTGTTAATAAGAATTATAATTAAAAACTGATTTCTCATCTTTCAAAGAAACGTATTTATGTGCTGTATTACTCATTTCCCTTATAAATTCTTTTTTCCAAGGAATTCAGGAATTTCTATTGAACGTATGATTCAATTGAAAATCCTTTAAAAAGTAAGTGAGTTTAAAGTACATATGGTTCTAAATGGTCCTCTTTGTATAGAAAGGTCTCTCCATCAATGAGCTTATCTCTCACATGATAGTCAAAGATGGATTCCAAGATTCAAAGCATATTAAATGATACTTCTACAACTCTAATGAATGCAGTCTTTTATTTCCATCAAATACTTTCTGACCTGTCCAGATAAGCACATATTTGAATGATACTATTTAACACTGAAACTGCCAGACCAAAGAGATAACAGATGTCTCTCTGAGAAATATTAAAAAAATTGAGTTACCAATACGCAAACTGAATTGTAAATCGATTGAATCCCAAGAGATACACTCTTGGAGTTTCTATGGAGAAATTTCAAAAAGTAAATTTAACTGTTTGGTAGTTTTAATGTTAAGAAAGAATTCAAACTGCAAATGCAATTCTGAATCAATGACTGAATAAATGAAACAGCATTAATTAGAAAGCAATACTTACATCCTACTACAACTTTGTTCAAACAAACTGCTTCATATTGTTTGTTATAATCATTCTGCAGCCTCAATTTACAGTAATACATGTCCTCTGCGGGTGGAGGTCTTTCCACATCCAACGATATTGTAGTTTCATTAATGACTGTAATATATTGTGGTTCCATCTCTTTCTTATTTCGGAAGAATACAAGGTCCGTAGCATTTTTTCCGGGGAATTCAGAATCCACGAACGTACGATTCAATATACAAAGTATTTTTAATGGTTGACCATATTCAAGGACAATATCCCCTTGAGGCCAAGTTCCTTAAGAGAGAAGTTTACGTGTTAACAATGATTGCTGGTTATATAACTTATTTTAACAATTTCTTAGCTTTCTCTAAATTTCAGTCTACATTGCACTTTCAGTGCATTAAATATAGATATGTGCATTTAGCTCCTACACTAGAATTCCAAAACAAGAAGAAAGGTGCACGTTGTATTTATAAACTCAGCTATTCTAAACAGGTTCATGGAATAGTTACTTATTATGTTTATTGGTTTCAAACTTACTTCCAGGTGTTTTGAGACCGATCGCACACTGATTGAGATCTGCACTGCATAACGATGTACACAATAAAACAATAAAAGAGATTAAAAATGTTCTCCAAAAACAATTCCGCCACTGTGTACCAACTTTTTTAGTGGTAGGTAATAACAACTTTCTATCTGCTGGAGCTTTCCGCAAATTGCATGTATTAGAACAGACATAGCTATTCGAGATTTGTTTCTGTTTTTCAAGATGCATTATATCACAAGTACAGATAAAACGATTAACATCTTTGCTTGACACACAACGATTAAGCAAACATATTCTAGAAGAATGTTCGATAGCTGCTGAACATTCAGCTGCATTGCATGATTCATTTTGTATCCTATTGACACTATCGTTCTCCACAGGGAGATTGTTACTTATATCATGCTCATCATGTTTTTTACATTGCTCCGAATCACAGCACAGGGTGTCTGTCATTCTATGCACATCCGAAGATCTAGCAACATCATGTTTCAATACACTTTCCCAACCTGACAGTGATGATTGAAACATTTCTTGTAGGAGTCTTTTGGGGTCTGCTTTGGTCGAAGACATCTTGCACTCCCATCACTGAAAAGACATACAAAGATACACCAATTACTAAAAAGTGATGTTACTGACGATATTTGACTATGGTAGCACTAATAACAAAAAGTACTAAAGTGTGTAGAAAATAAGTACCAAAGTGCAAGAAAATGAAAACTGAAGTGTTCATTGATGAGACTCAACTGTATAGTGTCGAAGCCAAAGTGAGACTGAATCAGGAAACTCTGTCCTTATACTTGATAAAGATAAGGCAGTCATTAATGAGATGGAATACAGTTCTGATTGACAAATCCTAGGTCATGACATTTTATTTCATTAATTTGATATGATTTATTTCCAGTAATTCCTTATCAAGTTTTCCACTTCTTATGAATTAGTCTTTGATCGGAATTGGGTTTAACATTTTCAGAATGAGTCATAAAATGGAATGAATAATAAATATTGTGTGTAATATGTTAGATAAAAATAGCTACAACAAAATATTTAAAAAAAAACACAACATTAAGATTGCGTGTTGAAAGTAATTTTTCTGTGTGCATGTATTGAATAATATTAACTTTTGTATACTGTAGTATTATAGTGTAGGCGCATACCAAATGAGTAGACGAACAAACTAAAATCAGGGAGACAACTTTCCAAGATAAAAAGATTTCTAAATGAATAATTCATCGAGCAGATTGAATACCATTATTCAATATGTGACTCCAGCAAGATTTTAAGGGGATTCATACAATTCAACTCAAAAATTGTCAAGCAGTGTATATTAACTCGCAAACTGCTTTTCAAATTTATTACAACACTTTTGTAAATATTAATGTTCGTTGTGAAAACATACGTGACATATACAACAGCATTTAAAAATGAAAGATTAATAGATATATCAAACTTTGCAAACTTTGCACAATGCAACACACCAGTTCCCACATAAATCAGGAACCATTAACAATAATCCTTATAACAGAAGTATAGGAAGAAAACTACTAATAATTAACCATTAGAAAAAGTGTAACTACAACAGATACCCAATAAGAATATTTAAAACTGAAATAATATACATGCACACTAGACTGTGAAAACTCCGAAAAAAGTTAAACAATGTTCCACACGACAAATGTTTGCAATAAACGGTTTCCATAATAAATTTCGCTCGAGTTCGATCAACCGGATACTTATTTATTAAAACAGTAATGCTCACACGACAATGGTTCAAGATCAATAAAACATGAATTACATGTAGAAAGTAAACAAAAATATGAACGACATAGATTACGCGTAACTCCGATGGGTTATCAAAGTACTCTAAAGCATTTCCTCGAGCATAAGCTGTCGTTATTTACTAGAAAAGAATAATTATCGGAGTAAGAGGAAAATATTGATAACTCGAAAACGTAATCAGTCATCACGGTCGTAGAATGAGCGAAAGAGAGAAAGAGAGAGGAGGAGAGCGGGAATGAAGGAGAGAGAGAGGGGGGAGAAAGAGAGAGAGAGAGAGAGAGAAAAAAGAAAGACATAAAAAAGGAGGGAGAATTATACACACATATACACATGTATATACATGCGTGTACATAGTGTGTAGCATTCGTGCACAAATTATTTAGCACGTTGCGGTACACGGTCGTTTCTATAAAACTGCGGAACATTCCCGGAGATATTCGAGACGCGTATCGCGTCGAGAGCGTTACGATCATTTATTTACGAGCATACGCCGCGCTGTATCCACGACGTAACGCGTCTCCGTGGTAGATGATCGTACCTCGTATCCCGTCTTGTCGCGCGTATACAGGGTGCTCCGGAACCAAATTCACGCTCCAGCTTGTTTTTAAAACTCAAACGAAATTTTGTCTCCTTCGTAAAATAGCAATAGAACGAAACCGTCCTATATTCGACTATACTCTATTTTCCGGAGGACGAAACCTGAATTAAATCGATGATCATACCATTCCTCTTCAATTACCCTGGAGGCTCATGTGTAACAGAAGTTACACGGCTAATTAAAACCAGTGTATCCAGAAATCTCTTCCGAAAAACAGATCACAGAATTTCTATTACATAATTTTTTCCCTCTGATATTTCTATTATTATGAACGCAGAACGATCCCGTAGTATAAATATTCGTTTCGTGGTATACCGAAAATGTGTTTGACACTGACAAATAGCAATATTTATATACATTGTTGGAAACGACCACCTCGTGCCTTACGCGCGCGTGTAGGAGTGTTTCCATCGACCGTATGCATTAAATATTTTGTAGACTATCGCCAACGCTAAGCGAGTCGATTTTCCCGGTGAATGTCTCTATTGAAAAGCTAAAACCATCTATTGTCGGTGCATTCTTTGTTGAAAATAACCTCCTCGATACGATCGTTGGATATTTAATAATGGGACACCCTGTATACGTGTACGTGTAGCTGCACACACGACTGTGTGCGTTCTCATGAATGCTTGCCTGACGTACACACAGGCTCGCACGGCCACACGCACGCCATATAATGTACACGCACGGAACAATGCACGTAACGAGAGGCTCGTTGAAACGAACGATACGGATTCCCATATCTGGTCGGGAACGGAAAAAAATCGGCGCGTGGCCGGATCATCCCCGAAATAGGGTTGCCGATCCGGGAAGCGTAGGTTTTCCCGTCTCGCCAGCGAAAGGACATATTTCGCGGATGGTGGGAAAGTCCAAAGCGGTCGTGAACGTCCATTATCGGATCTCGTTCCTGAACACTCACCGTCAGCAAACGATCGACGACGAGCTCCCGTAGATTCTCCCTCATCGTGCCAGCCTGAACTCCGTGTTCGTCGCCACTTCACTTCACCGAACTTAACTAACACGACGGCACGGTCGAACGCGGACCCGTTCTACCCGCTGGGTATATCCTCTGGTCACCCGTAACGCGCTCCGAAATATTCGATAGACACACGAGTGATCTCCCGTGGAACGCACACCGCAAACACGTAATCACAACGCAGTATCACGAGTCGCAGCCGCAGAAATCGGCCGTGTCACTTCATATTTGCGGAAAAATTCTGTTTACATTCGTCCAGAGGGACCCACGAATAAATATATACGATACACATTCTGGGTAAAATACGTGCGATCAATCGGCAGTGGTGCCAACATGTCGGCAACTGTTCACGAGAAATCCTGAGCCCGAGCGGGAGGCGATCGAACGTTCTCCCCTCGTGATCCCGAAAATTTCAACCTCTTCCGGATGCTCTCGGACAGGTTTCAACGGCGTTTTGGTGGAAACGTGATTGCGAAAGGGACGAAGGGAACACGTTTCGGGCATCGTAACTTGACGACATTGGCTGACGTCACGACGAGACGTCAAGCGCCGCATTCTCGGAAATGTAGGCGCAGGCTTCATTGTTGACCGCGATATCGTTCGGCTGGCGCCGTTTTTGAAACCGTTCGATTAGTCAATTTCTAAAGAGGGGAAATCGATCGTTGAACGAGTCCTCGTGGATGATCGAGATCAAGTTTAAACTGTAGTACGTAACGGTCCATTCGCGATGGCCAAAAGTGGTTGATGATTTTTGTTTTATTTCGTGTGAAACTTCCGTCGGAATTGGAAATAAGTTATTCCGTCAGTTGACCGAGCACGAATGAATGACAACATTAAAATTACTTCTTATTTCTAAGTGCAATCTTAATTAGTATCTATTCAATTGGACTTACGTTTTAATTAAAGGTAGAATTTTTATTCGTAACAATATCGATCTCTTAAATTTATTCGTGTAGTTGTAACGATGGTAATCGTCGATGAAAATAACGTGCATATACAATATTGAACAGTTTGTGAATGCTTCTTGGCAAGAGACAATATCGCAATGTAAGTACAGAAGACATGGAGTTCTTTTTAATATTAAAATTACAATTGTTAATACATTCCTATTGAAAAATCATTCCTTCGATTACGAAGCTTATAATTAGTAATAAGAATAATAATAAAATTGTATAATTTTTAAAAAGGAATACATATATAATATATATATATATATATGTATATATATTTACAATTATTTTGAACTTGTTTATAATATCCTACATAATATACAAATCGTGTAAATGTATACATATATAATTATAAAAAATAAACAGAATAATTACCATGTAGGGTAAAAAGTATGATCCGCCTTTAAATGCAATTACCGCTGCTTATCGTTCACACGATAGACAGAAAAATTGCTTATGTAAGCAAAC